TCTGGCTTGGGCTCTCTACTTCATAAGTAGGTTTCTGCTCTTGTCACATGGCTGTGCCATCTTATCTTTCTTTGGATAGGAATGATAACTTTCTGCAAGTTCTCTCTTTGCCCTGGGCTTTATATTTCACAAACAGGGTGCTCTTCTTGTTTCACGACTGCAACGTTCTTCTCCTTCTCCCTCCTTATTCTTATACCAGTTAGCCCACTGATGACAGGCCAGAGACATTTCAAATGGTGAAACTCCAACAAGTTTTAACGGTCTCGTCGGCTTCTAGGCACCACCAGCTACCATATTTCAGAAAGAATCACAGCGCCAGAGCCTCACAGCCCAGCCCTTCTTCTTGAGTCTGTTGCAGAAGGAGCGACTGCACTTGGCATGCGGGCCGGTTTCGAGTGTTTTTCACTCTGTGAAGTGCCATCATGGGTCCTCCCTTTACTGATGAGTTCAAGTTCTTGGTGCATTTAGCCACAGAACCTCGAACTAGCTCAGCGCCCAGAGGGCTTTCTCTCTCTCTTGGTCCACTTTTCTGCAAGCTTCCTCTCTGGCTTAGTCTTTTATTGACATTAGAAGCTTTCCTGTCTCTTGTATTTAAAGTACGGGTCTATAAAATTCTGATTGAAGATGGTGCCTCGTGGAGACTTCTACTAGAGGGATCCAATGGAGTTGAGCGAAGCAGGCAGGGGGCCCCATATGGCAGCTTGTAGGTCATTGCTGTTGGTCATGCTCAGTTTTCCCAGAGAGGAGCTCCTTCAGCTCTGGTGTAGAGGGTGTAAGCCTGGCGGTGGAAGCTTGGGGGAGAGGCTCGAGGCTGGCTGGGCATTCTTGCCTTCACTGTGTTTTTTCCGCCAAGCATCCCATCTTGGCTCTGAGCCGTGCCTGGCAACCCCAGAAAGTCAAATACTGGTTTACCATCAGGGCTGGGCAGAGGTCATCTTCTGGCTTTGAGACCTGGGGAGAGACCTGTCCCTTTGAATGACCTTCAGCTAATCCTCCAGTGTCCAGTCTAGCTCGGTACTCCTGTTTTTAGAGGTACTGGGTGCTTCGATTTCTAAGCTTTGCCAGGATTCCATGTTAGGAATTGGTGTACTGCGTGCGAGTTTTATATCCGAAGTTCTGTTCCTCTGCACAGACTTACTTTTCATCTTTCGCCCGTCTGCTACGTTAGTTACCGTCGGTTTGCTTCCTGGGTTACACCAATCGTGGATGTCCTCATTGCCAGTTGTCTGTTCTTCTGTTCTCTCTCAGTTCTTGGAGGCTGACATCTTGAAAAGCTTCCTTTACGGTCATGATAGTTGGGTTTTAATAAGGAGTGGAGATAAGAGTGTTTCCAGGCATCTTATATGTTATTTGTACTAGACGCTTCTTCAGTATCTCTTTGGACTGGGAAGTATAGTTAGCCAGCTTTCTAGGGCAAAGCAGGGAGTGAACGTATCATTTGGGGGATAAAAGTTGGCCCACACCAAACTTGTGTGTGATTATGTTTATGCTGGAGGCCGGCTGCAGCAACCGCTTGTTCTTGTTGTCGTGAGGTGCCATTCAGTTGGTTCTGACTCACTGCACAACAGAACAACACACTTCCTGATCCTGCACCATCTTCATGATTGCTATATTTGGGCCCATTGTTGCAGCCATTGTGTTAGTCCATCTCCCTGAGGGTCGTCTGCCTTTTGCAGCCCCTCCCCTTTACCAAGAATGGTGTCCTCCTCTAGAGACTGGCCCCTCCCGACAACAGGCGCCAAGGCTGTGAGACGAAGTCTTGCCATCCTGGCTTCTACAGAGCATTCTGGCTGCACATTTTCCGAGACAGACTTTTTGTGTTCTTCTGGCAGTGCCTGGTTCTTTCAGTATTTTCCACCAGCACCATGGTTCAAATGCATCAATTCTTCTTCAGGCTTCCTTCTTGAACATCTAGCTTTCACATGCATCAGAGGCAATTGAGCATACCATGGCTTGGGACAGGTGCACAGTAGTCCTAAAAGTGACATCCTTACAGGGACGTGGACACAGCCTTATCCCTCGCCCAATACTTGAGCCACCCCTGTTCTTCACCACCGAGAATGAGAGAGATGTCCTGGTGATGAACTGTCCCCTTCTTGAATGCCTTCCCTAGCCCTTCCTTGGTCCTTTGATGAATGGGATCCCATGGGGATGGACGCCAGCTTTGTCGTGGGACAATTGGAGTGGGGACCATCTGAAGCAGCAGTTCTCAACCTGTGGGCCACGACCCCTTTGGGGGTTGAACGACCCTTTCGCAGGGTTTGCCTGATTCATAACAGTAGCAAAATGACAGAGATGAAGTAGTGATGAAAATAATTTGATGGTTGGGGGGTCACCACAACATGAGGAACTGTATGATAGAGTTATGGCATTAAGAAGGTTGAGAACCACTGATCTTGAACCTCTAAATTCTAGAGCTTGTGAGCAATGTTGTCAGAAGCACCAAGATTGGGGGAGGTCAGATGTGCAGGCATTCCCCCCACTGAGGGCAATCAGTTGCCAGACTTCGGTCTCATCCCACCACAGGGGTGGGCCTGCTCCCTGCTGCTAGGGACAATGGACAGGCTCCTGTGGGCGGAGTTCGCATCCTACTGATAATGGTCTCTATCAGTTGGGCCAAGGACAGGCCAAACCGGCTGTCCCTCCTCTTCCTATAGCATGTATGTCCCCAGATCACCCCCTCCCATTACTGTAATACCTGTAGCACAACCCTTTCCTGTGATGTATGTCTTCGCCTGTAATGTGGGGGCTCGAACGTCCCCAGAGGGTATAAAAGCTTGGGGAGCATTAAAATTCTCTCTCTCTCCATGTGGATTACCAAGCGGGGCTGAGGTGAGCAATGTTACCATGAAATGTGTCTGACTTCATTTATTTCTACATATCTCTTTTATCTCTCATGCTCTCTATAACTTTACTATAATCTTTACTTATTATCGCTGTACAATTGTGCCTACAGAACCCGTAGTGATTGTGCTAGGAGCTGACTTCTTCTGGCACAAGATAAACCTTCCATACCATTTTGAAGTGTGCTATTGTCTACGAGGAGAATGAGGGCAGCCTCAGTGTCAGGTACCAGAAACCTTGCTCCAGGATAGCGTGAGCTGCTGGCTCCCTTTGGATGCTGTCACTCCTCAGTAGAGGTCTGGGCCCTGATTGAATGGGACACCAACAGGGGATCTGACTGTAACTCCAGAGGCACATCATAAAGGAGGGGCAGATACAGTTCAGTCAGTCAGTTGTGAATCATAAATCCTAAAATTTGGTAATCTGTCAGAAATACTCTCACATTTTATCTTTCTTCACTGGGTTTCCGGTCGTGTCATTTGTCAGATGTCATATTTCTGTTAATATACTCTCTTGAGTGATTACATTTACAAATGTTTTGTGTTCCTTAATTTTGTCTCTTAGCATTTATGCTCTGGGTTATCCTGTATTGGTTCTGAGGTGTTTCTAAAATTTCACCATCACACATTTATGACGTCACAGATGTATTGGATGAGCCACATTTCTTACTCTATTACTTTACCTTTAAATCCATCCCACGTTATTCAATCCTAAGTGAGCTAACCTAATTATAAACATTTAATTCCATGCAAAATGTTTGCAAGATCAAGTATCTTTTTTTCAAGAGATAGCCCATAACTTGGAATTCCATTAGACATGCTTTCTGTTGGCAATTCTTTTTTCAGTTTCTGCAATTTCAAAAAGAGTTCCAGCTCTCCGTCTAAGTCTCTGACTCAAGCTAAATTTATAGCTAAGTTTAAACTTATTACTTCCAAATGACAAGAATCCCAATCACCTCACTCTGAGAACATCCACAGGTTGAGCTCTTAAGTGCCAATCTTACAAGTAACTGTTATTTCCATAGCTTGAATTATGTCCTGATCATAAATGAAATATTAGTCTATTCTAGATATCTAGAAGCACATGAGGGGGCTCCAAAAATTCTCACAGTTCCATTTTTCCATGAACTTTTTGAAGTCCCTTCTATATAAGTCATGTACACACACCACAAATGGATAATAGCCCTTTAGGTGGAGCCAAATAGAAAAACGTGTAATCTATATAGCTATACTTCATTGCATGATCTATAGCTTACCATTTAATTTCCAGAGAGAATTCACATGAGGAATAAACTGTCCTTACCTACTACATAGTTTACCTCGGGGTATTTAATATTTAGTCAATCTCTATTTCTGTAACTACAAATGTACTAATGCTTATTGATTTATAGTCTAATTAGATTTACAATCTAACTACTGTTGCTTTTAAGATATTCAGGATTCTTCGACAAGGCAGGTTATAAATATTGCCTTGTCTTGATGTTAATGCATACTTAAAAAACAATGATGAGTCTGTCAAACATGCCACGGACAAAATTGGAGGACATTATGTTCAGTAAAGTTAGTCAATGTCATGAAGATACATATTTCATGAAGCCATTATTATCAAGGGGAAGCAGTGGCTTCACACCAAAGGAAAAAACTTTGAAGATGATGGTGAAGGCAGCAGGGAGGAGGGTGAGGGAAGGGGAGGGATAGGAAGGTAAGTAGGGAGAGTGGGTAGGAAAATAAACGAGAAGGAGGAGGTGAAGGAGAAGGATTATTTACTGGCATCTGGTCTTAATTAGGGTTCTCTAGTTTACTTTTTTGGGTTCTAGTATTCATTGCAATGGCTACCCAGAACTCACAGACAAAATTCATGATTAAAAGGCTTATTAAGGAAGATAACAAGTTGGAATGCTGGTGAGAAGTGCTCTGAGTTGAGTTATCAGTAGGGGCTACAAAGTTGTTTCAGGTCTGTTAATAAATGCATTTATCTTAGCTGCCAACCCAGTGAAATCTTCACACCTTCATCCTGGTGTAGTCGTTATGTGGAGGGCTGTGATCTGTATGGTCGGCAGTTCGAAACTACCAGCAGCTCCTCGAGAGAAAGACTGAGCTTTCCACTCCTGTAAGCCGTTCCAGTCTCCGAAACCCACAGGGGTCAGCATTGACTCGATGGCGGTGAGTTTGGTTTTGGAGCTTCATCATGTTATATTCTTTCCTGAGAATATATTTACTATCATTACAAGATTACACACACATTTCATCAGAGGAAGCCAGCCTCTAACAACTGAAGGGTCAGTAGGGGCAATTGCACAGTGATCATATGTGAAGATCATAGTAAAGTCATAGCGGATGGGAAAGGTAGGAGAGGGAGTACAACGAAGGAGTCAGGCACATTTGGAACTGTGACGAGAGAGAGGGAATCTTTACTGTCTTGGGCTATTTATAGGTAGCCATAAGACATGCATATTCAGTGGTTACATACGTCACAAAGTGGGTGGTAACTACAGTAAGGTCCCTGGGCTCACAGGTGAGGGACCTGCACTGGGGGAAGGTAGGAGGGGGGCTGGGTGACATGGCAGGAAGAGTAGTAACAGGATGTCTGCTTCTGTAGGGAGGTGGAATCGACCATGTGCTCACTTGAAGGCAACAGAGCTGTTAGGGTAGACTCTGTGGAACGATATTTAAAGCAGGATAATGGACTTGGACTTTATCTCCGACTTAGCCAAAGTGGTGGCTTTCCTACTGTGGAATACTAGCTTTCCAGAGTTCCTCTGTTATGGTAGAGAATAGAGTCCTCGTTATATTTCCCTCAGTGTTAGTTTCCCACAAAATGTGTTGCCTGAGAGGTAGGTGAGGAGAAGACGGAGCACACGAATTATCTGTGATCACTCAGGAACCCTGGTGGTGTAGTGGGTTATGGTTTGGGCTGTTCAATGCAAGGTCAGCAGTTCAAAGCCACCCGCCACCCTGAGGGAGAGATGAGGCTTTCTACTCCCGTAAAGAGTTAGAGTCTTGGAAACCCACAGGGGCAGTTCCACTCTGTCGTGTAGGGTCCTTAGGAGTTAGCATTGGCTCGAGGGCAGCGGGTTTGGTTGGGAGTACTTCGAAGCCTCCTGCATCTGAGCTGGCCACTGTCCCCTTACTCTCCCCTCTGCTGAAGCTCTCCTTGGAATCTGATTTCCTGGCTCTCCCTGGTGGATTAGAAATGAGGTGAAAAACTTCACTCTTTTCTCTACAATGTCTCCTCTTCTACTCAACCTAGCCCCCTTCCCCAACATAAATCTCTAGTTGATCTTGGATGAGGGCTGGGAAATAAGTCGGAGGGTGAATCTGGCCAAACTCTGCCATGTTTGATTCATTAGGGCCTTCACTAATTGTTTTTCCTTCCCTCCCC